TTTCCCTTATATTTCATACAACTGCACGGTTAAAACTTTCAAAACCTTCTCATCTTCTATAAAATGAGAAATATGTAAGACATGTTCACTTAACATTCCATATTTCAGACTTAGGGCGCAACCCACTACACAATGTTGCGGTCTGTTCTCGTTTTCAGAGGGCTTGACGGAAACGAAACAGCTGCGATACCGTCTGGCTCACTCCATTTGAGCAGAGAGGCTTCCTACAACCCTCTTTAGCGCTATTCTTACCCCCATCCAGAAAATAAAAACTCTTTAGCCTTTTCATAATGTTTTTACCTTGTTTTCTGTCTTACGTATTAAACAAAGTATTTCCCCGCTACAGGAAAATGTTTATTACAACAAAAGCAATGTTAAACCCACCATTTTTACTTCTACAAAGCAAGCCAACCTCTAAAATTATCACATTAATTTTAGAATCCTGATAAATGCAAAACATAGAGTGCTGTCTCTCAGTCTTGCCTCTGGTAGACGTTCCCCTTTGTGGTGGGGGATGTCTACTAGTGGTGTTTTGGCTGAGTACTTCTCTAGCTTGACTATTTCTGAGCACTGGAGGGCATTTATGATAGCTCCTCTTCCCTCCACGGTACTGTACGGGAGGTTTAAAAAAAATGCCATACTCTTCTAGGCTTTGTTCTTGCGGTCTGGGGGAGACAGAAAGTACTGAACATGTTCTCCTGCACTGTATATTTTACCGTGATATTCGTGCCATATATCTAGAACCTCTGCTACAAATTCGCAAGGGTCAATCTGATGTTTGCAAGACTTTTTTTTGTTTTTTTAAACTATCTTCCCATAACTGAGATCACTGATTTGGTGGCTAAATTTCTATGTTGTGCCATTAAGAGGAGAGGAATGTTTCAACTCCAGCAATGAAGGTTCACAATACAAGAACTCATGGGCACTCCATGAAATTGCTGAGCGGTCGGGTTAGAATGGATAAGAGGAAGTACTTCTTCACCCAAAGAGTGATTAACACTTGGAATTCACTGCCACAGGAAGTGGTGGCGGCTACAAGCATGGACGGCTTCAAAAGGGAATTAGATAAGCATATGGAGCAGAGGTCCATCAGTGGCTATTAGCCACAAGGTATAGATAGGGACTCTGGGGCAAGTGATGCTCTGTTTTCTTGGTGCTTGGGGGGGTCAACAGTGGGAGGGCTTCTAATGTCCTGGCCCCACTGGTGGACCTCCTGATGGCACCTGGTGTGATACAGAGTGTTGGACTGGATGGGCCCTTGGCCTGATCCAACATTGGCATCTCTTATGTTCTTATGTACCCTTTATCCCTTAGCCTATGCTAGGCAGGGGGGGGAGGAGGCTGACTTACCTTCCTGCTTCTTCCTCGTTCTGGAACAGAATGAGGCTTGAAGCAGAGGAGGATGATGAAGTTATTCCAGATCCTCTAGTCAAGCTTTAGGAAACCTCCACAATCTATAACAGCTGTGATTAAATCATTTCACAATTTGGTTGATGGAACTTAGCCACAATGAAAGTGCTTTTCAGCCTAAACAGTATCATCCCCAAGCCCCAGAGAACTAGCAGGTCACTAGAAGTGCACAGGCTCTCTTACGGATACGGCTACTTGGAAGCCAGAAACAATCTGTCCATGCAGAACTTGCCTAATAGGCAGGGGTCGTTTCGTAGAAAAAGAGCTAGGGGAACTCATTAGCATAACTCATTAGCATATGCCACACCCCCTGACATCACCGGAAGCTCAGGCTCCACTGGGACTGTTTTGAATTGTTAGCTGTTGGGTGGGGGGAATGTGCAGATCTGTCCTTGCAGAGGAAGGAGAGCTTGTACCTGAATAAAACTTGGTCTT